TGAGGGGAGCCTCAGGGAGCAGCCGTCAGCTTAGAATGAGAAAGGCCCTTCAAAGCAGTTGTAGGATCACGGAACAGAGCTGGAAGCCACGGAGATCTCCTTGTCCAGCCCACTTGCTTTAGCAAGACCCGGGCAGGGGATGGGACGTCCCCAAGGCTCCTCACGGAGGTGATGGCAAAAGCCAATACCAGCTCCAACTATCCTGTCTCCCCGTCAGAGCTCTTTCTGCCCCCGGAGCTTGGGATTCTGGTAGGGGTCCTAGAATGGAGGAAGCTTATAGCATCTTTGATTTTCATTTCATCCTTTGTTTTACACCTCAGAGTATACGTTGAGTCTGTATGTTTGCAACAACAATTAAGTTTTAAAGGACTCATACACCTCTTCAGTTCAGATCTAGAGCCCACTGAGGATAGATGGACATTTGGGGTGAAGGGAGTAGAGCCCCTGTGGGGACCCAGCTAAAGCAGGAGGCTGGCAACCCTGCAGCTGATTCTCCCGCCCGGAGCTGAGGGGCAGGATGGAGGCAGAATCGCTCTGTGACTGAAGCCGTGTCCCAGCCATCCCGTGGATGCTCTCAGGCCCACAGCCAGTGAATATTTTCAGACTGGACTTTTTTGGCAGCCTAATTCTCACCAATAGGACCTGTTTTCTTTATATATCATCCAAATCCAAAATTTGAAATAAAGAATGCACTTTTTAAAAAGGACGATTCTTTTTTGCCCCACAACAAAGAACCGGTATTATTCTGCAGAAAAGGGGTCTCTTTGTTTCACAGTATTTTTAGCCTCTGAGAATAGAAAGTGTCAGGGTTGAAGGGCCCTCAGTGTAATCCTGTAGTTCTCAACCCTAGCTATGCATTAGGGCCTGCTTAGGGAACTTTTAAAAATACCGCTGCCCAGGACCCGCCCCTCAATCCCCCAGGGGTTCTAATACAATGGGTCCATGTTGAGACCAGTCATCTGTACTTTCTAGACCTTTCCCAGGTGACTCTAATACCTGGCCAGGGCTGAGAACCACTGTAACCACTGCAGTGCAGTTTGCAGGTGGAGAAACTGAGGCTCGGAAAAAGGCAGTGGTCTGTCCAGAGTCACACAGGGAGTCAGGGCTTGTGGGGCAGGGATGCCAGCCAGCGGCAGACCCCATGCTGCAGCCCCTCTCCCTCTGTTCAAGTTCCCCACCTCCTGACCAATCCATCCACAAACCCCCTGGTCCACAGCCTGCAAGGCTGGGCTATATCCAAACGAGTGATCAGCATTGTTTGCACAATGGAGTTACCAACGAGCCCGAGAGTCAAAAGTTAAAATGCCAGGTGTCTGTCATGGTCACCTCCAGTTGGGCTGTGGGTAAATGGAAGAACACAATGGGCACCATCCTTCCACCTGCAGACCCAGAAGGGGCCCTGTGCAGGGTGCAGGAGACGAAACTCTATGCTGCCCAGGACATCAGAGGCAAGATTTCAGGTTCCACTCAGAAACCAACTGGCAGCAGGAATCAGGCCTGCATACACCTGGGGCAATGCTTCAACCCAAGGGGCTGTCACCCAGTGCTCTGAGCCCACAGCACCTGGGGTGCTGGGAGGGGAGAGGCAGTACTCAGGGAAGGCTTCCTAGAAGAGGTGGGTAGGGTTTGGATATGTTGGTTTGGTAGAGGGAAGAGAAAGCCCCCCTTCCAAGCAGAGGGACCATTGTGGGGAAAGACGGCAGTAAGAAACACAGGGAGTGTTTGGGGACCTAGCAAATAGCTCGCAGTTACTTTTATCATGACTCAAATAACTACAATTTATTGAACACTTACTGTGAGTTAGGCCCCAAGCCAGAAATTGCCTGTATTCTCCTCTCCAATTCTCATAGCCACTCTAAAAATTCCCATTTACACTTGCAGGCACCTACTCACAAGGTGCAGGCTGGAAGGGAAATACTGTCTGCAAATGGAAATAATTTTTACCGCCCTGGTGGGGCTCGGGGAGCCTGCAGTCACTGAACTACAAGTCAGAGATTCTGAATATTTCTCCAGCCTCCGGCACAGATGTCCAAGGCCACCCTGGTCAAGGACGAGGAAATCACCTAACCTTCCACCCCCTCCGCTGCTGTGTTTGAGGGGTCCTTTAGTATGAAATACCTCAGGCTGGGCCTGGCACGCAGTAGGCACCCAGTACATGTGGGCTGAATGACCGAAACCCCTACTCAGAATGGCTGGTGAAAGTGCTCTGAATTCAGAACCAGGGGACCCAAGTTCAGGCGCCCCCTCAGTCATTGCCCAGCACATGCCTCTGAGCGTGCACGTAACCTGTGTGAGGCTCCTCTGTAGACCAGGGTAAGTTATGCCCTATTCATGGTTTGCTATGAGCGTTAAATGCAGGAAGGTGTGAAGTGCCTGTGAGCCTCCAAGTACTGCCCCCAGGGAGAGATTATGGTGATTATGGTCGTGGTGGGAAGCTGAGTATTATTTTGGTGCCATGGGATATACAGCAGGGCGTGTTGAGTCAGAGGGGTGGGCTGTGTGGCTGCGAGCGTGGAGGAGGGCCAGCCACACCACTTCCCGGCTCCTGATGATTTGTTCCGATCAGCCTGCATATTTCATGTGCTGCCTACCCACGCCAAATAAATAAATCAGGGTCTTCTCCTCTGAGGGGCAGGAGCTGATTGGGGCTGTGACTTCAAAAGGCCAGAGCAGGGATGCGGGAGCTCCCAGCAGAGTCTGCTAATGTGACATTTAGGAACTAGGTGACCCAAGCCAGTGACAGCCGCCTGCACAGTGTGACGCCCCCCCCCCCACAACCCCAAATGGCGGGGAGACCTTTGTTGGAGAAGGAAGTGACTTTTACAGCCCTGTTTTCCACCCCACGGTGAAGGGAATGCAGGCAGAAGTGTGGCCGGCCTATAGGGTTCCCTGTCCCGTTTCCTGAATGTAGAAACCTGCATTTCTACAACACCAGAGCCCCAGCAGGCAGTTCCTCTGGGCGCACGCTTGGAACTTCTGATGCCATCGCTTTATAACCTCTGGGCATTTTGAGGACCACAGTCTGCAGCTCTGGGGACCTGCCTGTCCGGCGGGGGTGCAGATGGGCTCTCTTCTCTGCAGTTAATACACTTAGGAGGCACATGGGGTGGTCAGTTCAGCACAAAACTGTCACCTTTGAGGGATCCCATCAAGGCTCCATGTCAGGGAAGATCATGGACTGTGGGAATAGTCCTAGATTTAAACCCAGACTCTACTTAGTATTGGTGGAGTCCTGGGCAAAGCCACAACCTGCCTGAGCCTCAGTTTCCTCATTTGTAAAGTGGGACTAAAAACACCTACTCCACTCAACAGTGAGAACTGAACAGGGAGAGGCACATAAAATTCCTAGCGCAGATCCAAGCACACTGTGGGGCTCGGTGAATCCCCTCGGCCCCGCCCTGCCTACTCCCAGCCCTGTCTAAGCTTGCTCTGCCGTGAGGGCTCCGCTCTCTAACCCCACACTCCTTCCCTTTGGTCCTCCACCTTGAACCCCACCTTTCCCTGTTCCCTGGATCTGCTTTATCTGTAATCACCAGTATTCCTCAATCTATTCGCCAAATCTACTGGTCCTTGGCTCACAGAGCTTGTTGTGCCAGCCTGTTGGTGGCATGTGACATTGCTGGCCAGCTACACTGTGAAATTGTCCCTTTCCTTGCTTTCTGCAATGCCCACTCTTTCCTGGCATCTGCTCCCGGCATCCTGACCACTCCTTCCCAGCCTCCTTGCAATGTCCTTGCTCTGCCCACCTCCCCAGAGGTTGGCACCTCCTAGGATTATGCCCTTGGTCCTCTTCTTACTTGGTACTGTCCCTGGGGGCGTCCTCTCCATCCCCTGCTCCAACTCCCAACTGACATGCTGATGGCCCCAACTCTCTCTCCCCAGCCCACACCTCTCCTTCCACTCCAGACTCAAGGACATCTCCACCTGATGAGCCACAGGCACCTCGGGCTCAGCACTGTCAAATGGGAACTTGTCATCTAGCCCTCTTCTTTGAACCCTGAGTTCCCCACTCAGGGAATAGCCCCCCAGTCACTTGCTTCACTCCCCTGTTCCCATCTCCCCAACCCTTTGATTACCCAGTTGTCCAGATCTTCCCTGGAAAAAAGGAAACCTTTGTCAAATCTAATTCCCACTCTCCATTCCTTCTGTCACCACCCTGGTCCAGTTCTCATCATCATTATCTCTGATGATGACCTAAATCCAACAAGAGAATAGTATCAAGGATGAAGGTAAATTCAAATGCATCACTTAGGTCTGGAAATACACCTGAACCAGTGCATATGAAGGGGACTGTGCTCTGGGTGACACAGCAGAGAAGTGTAGCCTCTAAAAGATGCTAATTCCACCTCAGAATGCATTAATGGGGATATAATGTGCAGAATGAAGGAGGGGATGGCCCCCTCTACTTGCTGCTGACCAGATCATGCCTAAAGTGTGTTGGTTAGTCCTTGGGTCTACACTCTGTCAGACAGACAGGGACATTGTGGCATGTGGTACAAGGAGGGGCCTGGATAAGGAAGGAAGTAGAAATGACGTTTACTAAGATGAGGCTGGGGGGTTAGTGCGAAGGGGATGACCTGCCTTTGTCTTCAATCTCTGGAACTAGGACTTTTCTGGGACAGAGGGAGCAGAAGTGGCCTGTGTGGCTCTAGAGGGCAGAGCCAGATGACAAGAGAAAGTTACAAAGAGACCATTCAATTGATGACCAGGGAGGACTTGGTAACAGGCAGAGAATCCAGTTATAGGGGGAATAGGTTTCCCATCCATAGATGTACAGCAAAGGACAGATGACCAGTTGACAAGACGGTGTGAGAGTGTGTTTGTTTCAGCCCAGATCAGGTTGGGAATTTTGTGATTCTACCTGGAAGAGGCACCAGGGAAAGGAAAAGCCTGCGAGACTATAGCCATGGCCTGTGTGGAGAGCAAGAGCTGAACTGGGAGCACCCAGACACAAACACAGGACTCAGATCTAACCAGCCACTGTCTATTGCTCTCCACAGACAGGAGAGAAGTGAAGGTGGGAGAGTACAACGCTGTGGCTGACACGCTGGAGATCATCAACGACACCATTAGTTTCCAAGGTAAGTCAGGTGGGCTTCTCGGAGGAGGGAGCCTACTCAACCGCTCGCAAGTCTGGGTATTATCTGAGGGATGGGGACAAGCTCAGAGTCCTTGGCTTCGTGGGAAAGAGGGAACATCCCCTCCTCTCAACACATACTCATTGGGTCCCCATCACTCACGTGGGAGCTGGGTTCCGGCTCCTGGGACGGGTCACTGGAATTTGTAAGAGTCCTGGCTCCCGCTGAGACATCTATGTTTAAACCAAAGGACAGCCAGGGGTAATTCTTTTCAAAAGTTACCCAGCAAAATCTAGCTCTGTCTCCTCCTCTGAGAAGGGACTTGGTCTCCATCTGCTACTCTTCCTGGAAGACCATTCCCTCTCTTCTTTTGCTGGGGAACTCCTCCTCAGCTTCTAATAGAACCAGATGAAATACCTCTTCTGTGCAGCCATCCCTGATTGCCCCCAGCTGAGCTAGCAGCGCCCTTCTCTTGGCTTCCATAGTCTTTTGTCTCGGCATTTCCCATGGCTGCTGTCACTTGGCATTGAAATTTCTAGGTTGTTGGACTGTGAGCTCCCTGACTAGATCCTATTTGACTTTAAATTCCTGGCACTGACCAGGGTCTGGTACATGTTGGACATTCAACAATATTTGATGAAAAATGAATACATGATTGATCAAGTGAGTGGATGAGTGGGTGGGTGAAAATCTGAGTGACCAGGTGAACATATGAGTCGGTGAAGTAGTGGATGGGTTGGTGGGTAGGTGGGTGGGGGGATGGATGGATGGATGGATGGATGGAAGTCCATTCTGCTCTCAACAGCCAAAGTGCCCTTGCCATCATGCCATGCTGAAGACTGCTCAGAGCCCTGAACAGTCCCCATTGCTCACAACAAGGGGCCTCCATGGTGTAGCCCCCAAGGCCTCCATGAAGGGACCCCTCCTCACTTCTCAGCCTCCAGTTTCACATTTCCCCAACCAAACCGCTTACAGTTCTTCAAATATGCTGCAATACCATCTTGCCTTTGCCTCTGCCAGTTCTCTGCTCAGAACGCCCTTTCCTCCTGTATTCCTGGTGGACTACTCATCTTCTGAGACTCAGCTCTCCTTTCTAGCTCTCCTTTCTATAGCCTTTCCTGCCTCCATCAGGTGGAATTGCACTCTGCGTCCCGCTGAGGCCTCCCCGTGCCTGATGTTATCAGCCACCTGGACACTGTCATTGGAGGCAGTTTGCACAGGCTTCAGAGTTAGGCAGATCTGGGTTCAAATTCTGCCAGCCTTGCCACTTACTAGCTATGAAAGCACTTAGCACCTGGAAAACTGTTGCCCACCCCCACCCCCACAGATGGGAATAATCTTCTCTCTCCGTAAGATTGTTGGGTAGATCAAATGACAAAATCTCTATAAAGCGCTTAGCCCGTGGTAAGCATTCACTAAACGCGATTGCTTATTATTGCCTTTTTCTTTTTACTTTTAATGTGTAAGTTCCTTGAGGACTATGTCTTGCTTATCTTTGAATCACTGTGCCCAGCAACAGGCCTCACAGGTAGATGGTGATTATTAATGATGATTGGTCATCATTAATGATGGTGAGTGAAGGCATAGTGATGGATGATGGAATGGTGACGAACGGACGAATAGTGAATGAATGAATGGTTTGGGTGACTAGCAAGAAAGAAAACTCATGGCTGCTGCTGTGACTAACACCTCTGACAAGTCATCACCGTTTGGCTTCCATAACGTTTCAGTTGCGATGCACCATGGGAAGGCGCCATTTCAGGGGAAGGGAAGGCGGCGTAAAGACGAGGGGCTCTTGTCAACTTTCTGAGGTTGTTCCTACACTAACAACTAGGGGTCCTACTCGTCATATAATGTCTGATCCAAACCTCACCCCCTTCCTCAGTGCCCAGAGAGGGGCTCGTTTCCAGCCAGGAACTCACAGGCACCCCCAGGATGGCTCTTGTGTGTGGGAGCCAGAAGGCACCCGAGCCAGTCTAATACAGCCCAGGCTATAGGTGGGGGGAGGAGGAATGGGAGTGGAGGTAGAAGTTTCCAGATGTTGAGCTTTCACTTCTGGAAGCAAGAAATGGTGTTACCTCTGTCTGCTATGTCTGTTTTTGCCCTGACTTTCGGTCCTTGAAGCCACTCCTTAAAAATGTTGCTCTGCATGGAATTGCTTCAAGCTTTACATTATCCATGCCAGCAGGTTCCTAGCTGTTTTCGAACCTGGCAACTTCCCTAGACTGTTTACATGGTTCAGACTGCTCTTATCCACGGAATGTTTTCAAACACATTTGAACTTGCTAGCAGAGTTTTTTAAACACAGATGTTCGGGGGAGCTCTCAACCCCTATAGCAACATCTGCCCATCCTCCGCTCGTCTCCTGGGAAAGGAGACATAACCAAGGCTGGCATCCATGGCACAGCCACGGGGGATGATGTCATTGTGACCCCTGATGGCTCTTCCCGGGCTCCCAGGTTCGGCCACTCCTGGGCATCTGGCCTATTCCACACATCCCCACTGGAGGAAGAGCCCCCAACATTTCACAATTCCACAGCAGAAACCTGACCTGAAACTGCAGCTGAGAAAGAGGATTTGAAAGAAGTGGGGCAGGAATTGCCGACGTCCCTGCGTCCCTCCTCCCAGGCTAGCCATACCTGACAAAACTAAAACAGGAGAATTGGGCCACCGTCCACAAAGATGAGTTTGCTCTGCAGCCCATGCCCCCCCCCCAGGTTCCTGGTGCCCTTGAAGAATGAGCAGGGACAGCTCCAAAGTCACACACAGATATGGAATCCCACAGTTTCGGTCCAGTCCTGGCACAGCAGGGAGGGGAAGGTGTGCCAGTAGCTTCTGCCTCCCACAGTTAGCAAATCCTATGAAAATGGAAAACCAGAAAGAACTTGTATAACATAATGACCTTGAGGCAGAAAAGCCATATATGTCTCCGTGGAATTGACAGGCATAGGACCCACCCTGCTGAGGGGTGGTCATCTTCATGTGTTGGAGCAGAGTCCTTGAGAGCCAAAGCCAAGTTCCTCACCCCCCAGTGACACCTAGTAGTTCCCACTCACAGCACCCAGCCTTGTGCCTTCTGAGCCAATCACTGTTACCTTTGGGGATAAATGGCAATGGTTTTTCAACAGGGTAATTAGACCAAATCAAATTCTAGTCTTCTAATGGCTATTAAATGCATCACAAATCCCTTATTGATTCTATTTAGAGAAAGAAATAAGTCCTGGCTGAGGCTCCCTGTTGGGCTGGCTGGCCACCCACCAGAGCCCACTCAACCGGTAGGCATGTCCTGCACAGAGTTGGTACACAGGTGGCAATGCCAAGGACATCCAGGCAGAGATGGGGACCGACTGTACACTGGGCTCAGCTGATGTCTTTTCCTTGGTCTTCTAGGATCTGAACCGCCAAAAGACAAGACCATCATCCTGGAGCAGCTCCGGAAGATCTCCCTCCCTCTCTACAGCATCCTCTCTGCCCTCACCATCCTGGGGATGATCATGGCCAGCGCTTTCCTCTTCTTCAACATCAAGAACCGGAACCAGAAGTAAGCCGCGCACACCCTCCTCTTGGATCACGCTGTCTGGATTGACAAACCTCACAGAGAGAGTATAGGAGTATCACATGACAGACTCTCCAGAGGCACAGAAGTTTTAGGGACAGTTTTCGAACCACTCAGTTCCTGGGGTGTTATTCGATGTTTCATGAGCATATGCTCACATTTACACAACACACACACACACACACACACACACACACACAGAGGCAGGGCTGCTGGTTGCACAGAAGCCTCTGGTCAGCTATGTTTGGGGAAGGTGGGGTTAAATAAAACTGAAGGATCCAAGTCCATAGGCCTTCTCAGAGTTTGGCTGTGCTTGTGCACTTTGTGGCAGTCCAGGAGGAGAAATCGAGAAGACAGAATCCCCCAATGTCTTTGACCTGCGCCCCTGATTCTTGGGGAAAGCACTGCCAGAGGGGATCACTGAGTTCAGGGCAGGGCACTGTTGCTATCCAGGAAGCCCCTCCCACACATCATCTTGGTTGACCCTTCAGAAAACTCCAGATTACAGATGAGAGCACAGTGACAATGGCTACTGTCCAGGCCACACTGCTGGGTGTGGCAGAACCCATCCCTTTGGTTTCTTTTCCCTCACACATGCCCTTCACTCTCCGGAGGACAGCAGTTCACTTTCTGAGTTATTCTGATCATTGGTGAGCGGAACAGGCCACCACCCCAGGCGGTAGGGGTTCCCAAGCTCAGCCAGCTTCTTTGGTTTCCATAGCTAATCCCTAAACCCAGTTTCCTGCCTTATTGTGGGGGGCTGAGCAGGGACTCAGACCTGGACCGTCAGCCGGCACCTCAGTGCCTACCCACAGGCAAAGCGGCTCTGCCATCATGCCCAGAAGCCACACTGCCTGACTGCCAGGGCTGCCAGTAACAAGCCTGACTCCAGAACAGATGTTTTCCTTTTCTCTGTTTGCAAAGGAGGAACTTGGAGGCTCTAGATTTTTTGTTGTTGTTTTGGTGTGTGAGGTAGCAACTACTTAGGTCAAATCTACTTCCTGAAGAACAAAAAAAAAAGAGTTTTATTCACCTGTTTTATTTTATTTATCACCAATAACACATATACTGCCACACACACACAAAATGAAACAACCTTTATACTCTGTACAAACTTTAAATGATTAGCATTTGGCACAAGGCCTGGACACATAGATCTCAATGTTAGATTCCTTTGATAGAAGCTTCAAGAATTCCCATCACAACAGTTAGCTGCCGTATCATAAGAATAAACTCCTTTAATTCCTTAACTACCCCCTCTTGGCCTCCTGGAGGAAATTACAATCATTCTTCCCAAAGGCCGGCACCCGTGTGAAAGTTTTGACTGGCTTTGCAGGTTAAAAAATCTGTAAAGACATAGGAATAAATGTCACTGTGGTTCCAAATCCCCTTCACTTCTATCTGCCTGATGCTATCCAGTCCGTGAAGGTCCCCTCCTCCAGGAAGCCTGTCCAACTCCTGGCCTCTCCCATCCCCAGCTTCCTCTGATAATAAGAATGAGGGTGCTTTATAGTTCATGGTCTACTGAAGGGCCTCCAGGAACCAGTCTCATCTCAGCTTCACAGTGTGATCTGTGCTTTCACAAGTGAGGAGACTCAGCTGGCTAATGGCCTTGACAAAGGTGCACCTCTGTGGGTGGCAAGGGCCATGCGCTGGACCCAGTACTCCCAACTCAAAAGCACAAGCCTGGTCCACAGTTTGCTCTGAGCAGGCTTTTTATCTCTCTACCACTCTGACACATAACATTTTTTCAATGTGGAAGGATGAATAGAACTACGTAATGCAAAAGAAAATGTTCAGGGAACAATTGACCTTAATTGCAAGCTGTAAAAGAACACCTGGACCATGGGGCCCCTGAAAACCCAGGACATTATGAGTGGATTGTGCTGGAGGAGGCAGGTACCTCTGAGGGTGAACTCCAGCCACCTGATGGTTGTTTAACCCAGTCCTGGCTTGCTGGGAAGCTCAGAGCCACAGCACAACTCCTGGAGGGAGTGAGAGAGAAGCATGTAGAGTTTGGAAGTATAAAGAATGCCCCCCAACAGAGCCTCGTGAAGACAGGGAATGGAGATGGGAATGGTGACTCTCGTCCACCTTCACCTGCTGGCTGAGGAAGATGTGCCTATCTATGTGTGTGGCCCTCTGTGCTTGGGACAGTGTGAGCTTCAGGCAGCCAAAGTGGACGCCCACTCACCACTGGGGACCACAGTTCCTGAGTAATCCTGGATTCTCACCTGCAGACCTCCAAGACCTGGTCCACTCAGCATGGGGGAGGGTGGTGCAGCCATCACTGTGGACGGTGGCTGAAAGTAAGCGTAGCAGTCTCAGATTGGGCGTGTCTTCCCAGCCCCAGCCCAAAAATCCTGTTGGATAACGTTTTTGTGTAAACTAAAAATTAATGGTTGGAGAAGCTGATGCTACAAGCTCTCCCCAAAGAAGTAGTAGGTGAGCTTGATTAAAGAGAAAGGGAAACAAACAACTAGAAATTGATAGCTGCCCAGGGTCCTTTAGTTCCTCTAGCCTTGGCAACAACATACACGGTCAGAAAATATTTGTTGAAGTGATAACTACATTAACAGTCCTCTTAACTATGGTATATCCTTCTCTTGTCAGGCTGATAAAGATGTCAAGTCCTTATATGAACAACCTCATCATCCTCGGAGGAATGCTGTCCTATGCATCCATCTTTCTCTTTGGCCTTGATGGATCCTTTGTCTCTGAAAAGACCTTCGAAACACTTTGCACTGTAAGTCATTCTGCATATTCCCGTGGTGCGTGATGTAAGGTTTTCTTGGTGACCTCAATCATCCAAAACACACACAAACTCAGAAATGCATGAAAATTCATGAACAGGCAGAAGACAGCCCATTCCGCTGTTGACACAGTTCAACAGGGCAATAGGGTGTTGCTTTCAGACCAGAGGGGCCTTAAGTATTGCCTATAAAATTAAGGTCATGGATTTAACAGGTCACTGCTAGAAGACAGCCCACTGAAAAATGACTGGATAACCTAGAAAAGTGAGGGCGAAAAATGACCACCCAGGAAAGCATCTGCACCTGAGGTCAAGGCCAGGGCTGTTGAAGAAGGAACAAACCTGCCCATTTATCCCAATAACCATCACAGAACATAAGGAGGGAAGCCTGTATGGATGACTTCGGGTCATATAGAAAAAAGCATAGTCATTATTGTCTAAAGTAGTATTTCTCAACCATTTTTTCCTTATTGCCCCTGTAAAGGAGCCTTTTTAGACATTTCTCCTAATTATCCCTTCATGAAATTTTAATAGCAAAGACATACTATAGGTCTGTTTATGTACCATGTGTATATCTATAGTTTCTGCATAAAAGAGGAATATTTTTTCATATTCAAGACCCAATGTTGGACCCCTTGGGAACTATATCACCCCATTGAAAATGCATATCCAGAGGGTGCCAAAACAATGTATACACATTTTAAGAAGGAAAAAGCTATTAAAATTGTACTACTCAATATATACCAATAACAAAAGATGAATACAAGTCACATTTGACTTCTGCAATTACAAGCACTGCTCAAAGTGGTTACCATCAGCGTCCAGACACTTCTGATTTCGGCGAACTACTGCTTGAGCAACGTTGACCAAAGTGTCCACTTGTATACATTTTTTTGGCACCCCCCCCCGGTATTAAGGAAGCCCTAAACAGTGTAACTTTATCTACTAAATTTTAAAAGTATTATTTTGAAAATTAATTAGCATGTTTTAAATTGTTGTTGCCTAGTTGTTATTATGTTTTTAAGGAGTTTATACATTAGCAGTTGCCAGTTGTACAGAACTAACTCTGTGGAAAGTATCATCAGTTTGCATTTTAAGATGAGGATGACCAGTTGAGATTGATTTCTAGACTTGAACTAATGTGATCTCTCAAAACTGGTTATCTGCTTGGGTCTCTCCATTGTCCCAAATGCAATAATTTATCTGATTCCCTGCCTGGAGGACCAGAGCTAGAAGGGGTGGTCAAAGGATCAGTGTTTACCAGATTGATCCAATAACAACTCTTCTGTTGTTGCTGTTTTATTTTAAGGTGCTAAGAGCAATGTAGGTCCCTTTTTGCAAAGCTCTTTTGGTTTATTTGCTGCTCTAAAGTCTCAGTGTTGCCCACTACTGTTCGGTGATGGATTGACAGTTGGCAGCCAAGGATAAACAAACAGAAGACCCCCTAAACCAGCGGTTCTCAACCTTCCTAATGCCACAACCCCTTAATATAGTTCCTCATGTTGTGGTGACCCCCAACCATAAAATTATTTTCGTTGCTACTCTATAACTGTCATTTTGCTACTGTTATGAATCATAATGTAAATATCTTTTTGTTTTCCGATGGTCTTAGGCGACCCCTGTGAAAGG